CATCCATACAGTTTGCACACATGGAAATCGATCTGCACCGATTTTCACGAGGGCAGGTGAAAAAATTTATTCATACTTACTTGGACTTTATTCGGCTGATCGTTATATTGGCCAATAGAGAAACATATATCTGTTCTTGTACTCTCTGAATGGTGTCAGTGTCCAAATGATTGCTCAATACTTTGGTTCCATTTGGAGGTAAAACCTATGTTAGTTGCCACGTTCGAATGCACTAGTTGGAGATCAGTCGCATTACACAATTAAATAGCATGGTAAAGTTACCTCCGATTTTTTCGCTGTGGGATTTTTCACGAGAGCCTGAAGATAAAGCTTTAGCAATGTTGTAATGTACCAACCCGTCAACATCGGTTCTGGCAAAGTGATCGATACCACATTTCACAAATTCTGTGCTTATATCTTCTTTCGTACGAATACACTTACATATTTGACCAGTGCGATGCCACTATTCCTCAAATATTTTTACCTTTTTTTCCTCATGCTTTACTCACCTGACCGACGCTGCGTACATAGCCTCATCGGTCTAGTTCCTCATCACCATACTTCAAATTATTGATCTGATTCTTATATCTACATCCCACATTCTATGAAGACAAACCTTATACAATGTTGTGTGCCATGTGGGCCCACACTACTAACTCCCTATGTACTACGTCCGTGCTTGGTCCTGCTAATCATACTAAGATGTAAAGGATTGCAATATACGGATCATGCACAAAAGCCGTGCATCGCTTTGTCGGGAATAAAATATTTATTTATTTATAATACCTCAACTTGGACAATCTTATTCGTACATGTATTTGATTAGACATTGTGCTATAGAAAATTTGACTTCGCGCTGTCTTCACATATGAAATTGAATCATTGGAAGTTTTAACTGTTACTATGTCTGACTTACTTATTGAACATTGTTGTGACAAGGTGATAACGCTTTCATCTTAATCCCAATTTTTTCTCGTTACACAGACGGGATGTAGACTAAATTGCCAGGATAGTTATTATATGTATATTATTAACCAACACTTCTATTTTCCATAATTGCTGCTAACCTGCTAAGCTTAAGGAATATTAAGATAGTTACAACTGCGTTCCTTGCTTATACTAATGTCCCCCAGAACATGTTTGCTAACTGAAGTTATCCGGTTTGTGCTGTTATCATTATTACAATATGCCGATTGAAGAACGCCTTGCCATCTCTAAACGGATCAGGCATACTATCTGATTGATGTTTCTTAAAACCCGACAAAGTTTCTATATCTACTTACAATACCCGGAAGCGTTTATCCTTGATACTCTGAAATTACTACTGTTATCCAAAACAAAACTTGGCAAGACCGTGTCGCACGTCTAACATTTGTACCACTGCTTGTTTTTCGACAATAATTTGTTCGTGGGGTATGTACTTTCATGATGTCGAGTTTCTAAGAAACTGTGCTATTAGCCCCGTGTTATGCACCGGATGATAAAATGGAGATCAACCTCTTGTATTAAGATAGTCAAAGGAAACGTTAAGACGGAAAACAGCAACTGATTTATTTGGGAGGCTGGCGACATAGTTTGTACTCGCGTGTCATCGCAGCGTGAAATTCTCGTGACTTTGATTCGTCCACAAACTATGCGATTCTCTAAACCTTTGTGCCCCTTAGAATCCTCCCACAGTTCATCTGCTAAACGCAGCTAAAACAGCAAACCATAATGTAAAGTCAAGCGTTATTCAAGCCGCCGTATTATTTCTTGTACATACTTAGTCTATCTGTGGACGTTTCTGGCTTGATTACGTCATGCATAGTTTCGCGCTTTATCAGGGAGAACATATCGACCTGACTTTCTTTCGCATATCCGTGATTGCCGATAAAATGGTCGGTTTGTTTTTATACTTACAGCCGTATATTTAGTTATAAATCACCAGTTAATTATATGCTAAACGTTGTTATAAAATCGAGTAAGGTCCAATGTTCAACTGTGAAAAACTACACAAAGTAGTGATTTGAATTAGTTTTACTCAGTGGGTTATGTCAATACATTGATGGGATAAAAGTTATTTAAGCCTATTAAGATAACATGACGTCTCTATGAAATTAAAAATAAAGTACATTTGTTTCCACTTAAATTTTACAATGTGCTCGATATTCCTATTTTCTGGACCCTGGCAGGTCGCTAATGATTCATGTATGCAACAATTATCTAAGACAAATGAAGCGCGTAAGTATTTTGGAGAAACTGTTGATCCAAATAAAGTTCGTGTGCTGAACTTGCACAACTCACCAGTTTGACAGGAAGCTAAAGGATTTAATTAAAGTGTGGTAGGCTGAATGAGACTGTAAAACTCTTATACGAAAATGGTTCAATTCTCAGAAAAGTAGGAGATTGGCAAGTGGTGTGTTTAGGGACAGCATTTTCGTTTGTGTAGGCAGCGGACCTAGGTGTCCCATTATTAACAGTAAGAGAGGTTGCGAACACAGCTAAAAAGTTTGCGTCTACACTGCCCAGCATCTGGGGAGAATAATGCATTTAAATTCAAGATAAGTCTTTCATTCCCAGTAGTGTCACAAGTTACCAATAGCCCAGCATAGTTCGTAAAAAAGCGCACAGACGCGTTTCGCCCTATTGGGCTCGTCAGTGGCGCGCATTACCTCGGTCCTCTAATGAGGATCCGATCACCCATGACCGCTAGAGGCAGATGCCATACTAACCAGCAGCTTAAGCCATTGAGCCATGGGGGACGTTGGCTGGGCTACGATAATTTGCAAACTAAGCGGGGATATAGCACCACCTATCTACTAGTGTCACTGACAGTGCTTAGCCTGCGATGTGATGACGTCCTCTCCTACTAGACCGCTACATCTAATAGAATTTGAAAAAACTAATCTGAAACTAAAACGAAATTTAACTGGTTGAATCATGCCCACCGCAGGCACAAAGTACGAGCTCTATTTTTCAGTAAGAGCCCCGTAAAAGCATGAGTAGCATACATCCCGACTAATTAAGGGGCCGTTTTCAAGATATGAGTGCCTTTATGAAAAGCTGCTTCTTTGATTGATATAGAATGCTTGGGCGTTCCCTGTTTTAGTCTGCAAAATTCGTGTTGAATCTCTCTAATTGCTATATTAGAGTAAATCAATTTTCGGTTGCTAGGATCAGCTGAGCGGCGGTTGGCTGAGGAGTTTCGAAATTGTATTTGACCTCTTCATTGCATTTAGCCCTAGAAAGAACATAGACAAGGTT